CTGTGTTGACATTCCACATTGTTGGAATCATGACAACGGAAGTTCAGTGAGACTTTTCCGTTGTGTTATGCTTTTGCTTTTTCTGTTCTCTCTCAGACGAGAAGGAGAGGGGAAACATGATTTCTTTGTTCTGTAACATTTGATTTTGTAAATAATAAATCAGCGTAGAATTCTACACCTCAGGTCCAGCTTCTGCTTTGAACTCTGCTATGTTTGTGTGTGCCTATATCTTTGGATATATGTCGGACTAGCGACTCAAGACAGAAGAGTGATGAATCATTCGGAGGGAAAGATGCTGTTCCCTGGCATTTTCTTAACATCACCCACTCTCTAGCAGTCGCTACAAGCTGCTCAAGAGAGGAGGCTGGCAGTGGCAGCCATGGAGAGACCATGGAGAGGCAGCCATCACTGCCACCACCGCCACTCAGGACAGGCGCTGGCTCGTTCTCCTCCCTGAGCTTTGTGGGGGAAATAGGAACATCCTGGTATCAAATCAGAAGCCTGGATGACTGTCCCTGCAAATAGGGACACTTGGAAGATATGTCTTCACTATAAGATATAAGCCAGTAAGTCCACACAAACATCCTTAAGCATCTTCTGCAATTTCACGCACACCTGTCTCCCAGATCCCTGAGGAAGGCATGCCCTCCCTGCCTACCCATGTTTCAGCCTGGTCCTGAATGTTGGGCTAGGATCAGTGAGACTTGGACTTAAATCCTCACTCAGCCATGAAGGTGACTTTGAGCTAGTCATCACCAGCCAGGATCTCACGGCAGCATTTGTTACAGGGATAAGAGGAGGCTGGCATGATCCATTTACAGTGCCCAGAGCCATTTGGAGGTGCAAGGAAAAGCGTAGAGTGATAAATACCATTTCAGAATTCTTCACCTTGAAACCCCCTCCAAAGAAAGTGCCTATTTGCCTAAAGCTGCTCATTATGCATAGTGTAGCAAAGCATGGCATGAATAAAAATAGAGTGGTACCTCGGGTTACATACGCTTCAGGTTACAGACTCCGCTAACCCAGAAATATTACCTCGGGTTAAGAACTTTGCTTCAGGATGAGAACAGAAATTGTGGTCCGGCAGCAGCGGGAGGCCCCATTAGCTAGAGTAGTGCTTCAGGTTAAGAACAGTTTCAGGTTAAGAACAGACCTCCAGAACGAATTAAGTACTTAACCCGAGGTACCACTGTATGGACATTTATATATTATTTTCACATGCTGCAAAGAAAAATGGAAAAGAAAGAGCTAATTTTAAAAGTCTGGATTATAGTTGTTCCTTAAAACTTGAAATCTCTGTATCTATCTTCCCATTGTGAGTGGGAAAACCTTTTTTGTGATTAAAATTCGGTGGGGCATACAGAATTGCCTCAGTGGCCAGGCTCTGGGCACAAATTAGCTTTTCCTGCCTGAATTAATACCCACGTAATTTGTTAGAGGATAGTCCAAGGATCCTGGTTCTCCTCCACTTCCTCTCCCCCTTTGTTTAGAAATTTGCTTACAAGGTGACCGATCCCACTTGCCTCATTGAGACTTCAGTCGCCCACTCTCTTAATTTGCTTTCTAGTTGGGGCACAGATTCTGTTGATCTGTGGTTGCTGAATATTGTGTATGGATGGTACTGACTGGCGACAGGGGACAGCTAAGTACAGACAGATAGACAGATAGATGGAGTGAGGAAGCAAGTAGAATCATAGAGTTGGAAGGGACCCCCACGGTCATTTACTCCAACCCCGGTTGGGCGTGTGAATGAGGGAGAGAAGGGGAGAGTTCTGTTAAACACTGGGCAATACTTTAATATGTATGTAAGCAACAGACATTGCCAACAAATTGTGAATAGCACAAAAGGCCCAATACATATATAAAATACCCAGGAAAATCTTGTTGGCACTTCATAGCTCAGAAGCAAAGGTTGTTGGAGTACAATTTCCTGGTAAGGGATGTTGGGAGTTGTAGTTGTGTGACAACTGGATGGCACCCACATTGGCTAACTCTGGCACAGGGCAAGCCCTGACTGGAAGAACCAGACTTGAGTTTTGCCCCTCAAAATTTGTGTCAATACTTATACAGTTTTATGTAAATATATGTCAGGGCCCCAGGGCCTATACTCCAAGAACCTAGCAACACCCCTGGCTGCTTCCTTTCTTCAAATAAATGCAATTGGCTCACTAAATAATGTCAACTTTCCAGATTCCATGTTTCCCACTCTGTGACCCAGACGACAAAAAATAAATAAATGTCAGCTTGAACCTGTTCATTCAGGCAAAGTTCATTCATTCTTCCTGTGAGTTTCCTCTATGTTTGCATAGTTATTGTTTTTATTGATCTCTTTCTTTTTTGCACCACGCCTGTGAAACCCTTAGCAATGGAATACTTCATTGTCTTCTTCAATACAATTATCGTGTCATCAAACTGTGGAGGTAGGAAATGTAATTACTTCCATTTAGAGATTGCAGGTTAATCCCTCTGTGACTTACCAAGGGAGGCACTGGAAGTCTGCAAGAGAGCAAACCGAAACCTGCTTGCTAGAAGATATTTGCTCCGACACCTGTAGTTACAGTATTGCAACATACCCAAGTCTCAGGCTCCATAAGCCCATACAGTTGAAAGGGAGCCAGAAGACTCGGTGGGTATTGCTGTCTTGAAAAATCTCAAGACAGTAGTTCAGCATTTCTCCTCCTTCGATGACACTACAGTGCTTGGAAATCTTTGTTTAAAAGAGGTCTATCTTGGTTTTCCACTATACTAGCCCTCAAAGAGTCTTACCGCTCCAATTAAAGATAAAATGACAAGAAAAATAAATAAGATCAATTTTTTAAAAAAAATAATCAAGCAATGCAAATATACAGAAGTAACTAATACTGATAAAAAGCCAAGTTGCTGGGACTAACCTATTGAAACGCTAAGGCTACAATCCTATACACATGTATCTGGGAGAGTATTCCCATTAAAGTCAGCAAGGCTTACTTTAGCAGGTTGACATGTATAGGATTCTGCGGTAGCGTAAATGGCCTTAGGACCTCGCGACCCCAAAGCCCCCTTTCATTTTCCCCATATTAACCTCCTTGCTCTCTTAGATCACTGACTCAGGCCTTGCTCTCCATTCCTATGGATTCAATGGCTTCACAAGTAGGTGAATGCAAAACAAAGCCTTCTTTACATTTACGCACAGGCAGGGCAGGGCAGCGCTTCCTATTCTGCCTCAAGCAGCAAAATGGGGCACACCGCCCTTTCACCCAAGCTCTGGAATTTCCTCATTAGCAGCTTTCTGTCGGATGGGTAAACCTACCTGCTTAGGATGAATGCTTTGAGTTCCTGCATAGATTAATTGAGGGGTTGTTGCTTTTTCACTTGCTCTCCTAAACAGTATCACTGGAGGACATCTACAACTTAAGGGTTTTTTGGCTGCCTTTTTATCTTTTCTTGTATTCTGCTCAAGATGGTGCTTTTCTTCATTCATCCCCCACCAGATGGAGTGGAGTGACAGAAGCTTCCACCAGTCCAATGTGCTCGGAACTTTTGGACATGTTCTGTATATTCATTTTTTAGTAGTCTGTTGCAGCATAAACAAAGTGGGTGTATATGTTTCATTGTTTAAGGTGTTATAAGACTGTTGTTTTCCCAATACAACTACTTCCTTTTCACCCTGCTGTTTGCACCTTTGCTCTGAAAGTGGAATCACCTATAGATAAGCTCGGTCACATCCCATGTGTATTTCCAAGATGGCAGTTTCAACTATAAACATTCTTGCATCCATCAGTAAAGGCTTTCGTCAAATCAAGGCTTTCAGAGACTGAGATCTTAACGGGATCTCAGGCTTGGGAAGGCGGGAAGGATAGAGACCTGCAGCCCAACCCAAGAAAATCCACCTGGAGGATGCAGTATTGTCTAATTTCTCAGGCAAAATGAGTACATCTTGGGTAACAAGCACATCAGCATCTTAGGCTGATGCTTATGATGGCAGATCTTTCTTGCTAAGGGCTCTGATATGTGTGTCATGCGATGAATATTTCACCAGGGCGTAGTGCTTATAAACCTATGGCCCAATCTATGTCCCTGTAAGCATTTCCACGAACTTCATCTCCCATCCCTAGCTCACTGAATGGAAGAAAAACTGATTGGACTCCCAGCGCTTCATTGATCTTCACAGTGGGGAAACCAAGAACTACTACTGTGCATGTTAAACCCCAAAGGTGTTGTCGGTTTTCCAAGCATCAATAAACTAAATTTCTGCATTAAATAGCTTGCATGTCCACTGGTGGAGTTAGGCAAATGTTACTGTATGGATTCGACCCCTTATCCTGGTGATTTCACAGAATTAGGCCAAGCATTGTGAGTGGTACAAATTGCCTCTTCCCAAACTGACTTCTAGCTGTTATTTTCTGTTTTGATAACATCTTCCTAATACAGTTGTTGCTTTTCTGCCTCTTCTGTTAGCAGAAGGGAATAACTGGCAAGTGGCCAGTGTTGTGTGGTCAACAGAATGCTGGTTTTAAGTGTGGGAGATTTAGGATCAAGTCCCTAGTCATTTATGAAACTCAGGGCCTTTCTGCAGCTCAAGTTGCTGTTTAAGGCACAGCTAGGGATGAGGGGGGACGCGGGTGGCACTGTGGGTCAAACCACAGAGCCTAAGGCTTGCTGATCAGAAGGTTGGCAGCTTGAATTCACGTGACGGGGTGAGCTCCCGTTGCTCAGTCCCTGCTCCTGCCAACCTAGCAGTTCGAAAGCATGTCAAGGTGCAAGTAGATAAATAGGTATCACTCTGGTGGGAAGGTAAATGGCATTTCCGTGCGCTGCTCTGGTTCACCAGAAGCGGCTTAGTCATGCTGGCCACATGACCTGGAAGCTGTACGCCAACTCCCTTGGCCAATAAAGCGAGATGAACACCGCAACCCTAGAGTTGGCCACGACTGGACCTAATGGTCAGGGGTCCCTTTACCTTTACTTTACCTTAGGGATGAGGGAGAAATTCACTTCAGTTCACACTTAAAGGCAAACCTACCCCTAGTCGTGCAATGGGTCAGTGTGTCTGGCTGTTCACCAGAAGGCTGGTGGTTTGAGCCCACCCAGGGATGGCTGTGCGCAGAATTCCTGCATTGCAGGGGGTTGGACTAGATGACCCTTGGTGCCCGTTCCAACTCTACAATTCTATGATTCTAACACAATTTGTTAGCATTTCTCTGAATTTTGCAGTGCTGCTCTTTAATCAGGTAATGTGTATAAAAATGCACATATTAATGTAAAATGTGTATTAAATGCATATATTAGTGAAAATAACTTAAAATGCACTCTTTGGGGGAAAATGTGTATATTGGGCAAACTTGCTTACAAAATTGCGTATATTGGAAGAAATTCACACTGAATTACTGATGAATTTTCATGAGGACTTTTTTAAAGCAAACTGATGGGGAAATGTAGAGAACTGATTAATGTACCTGTAGGACACATGTGTCTGCAAAATAAAATGTACCTCAGATCACCTGCTGTAGCAACCATGTTAAAGGAGGCCATCTGTTGTCTCATGCCTAGTGCAATTTCTCTCTCTGGACAAGTGCTTTCTCAGGAACAAGGAAGGGATTGTGATTTCACAGGAAAAAGTTATTCCCCTCCCCCTAAAGGGGCACTGCTCTTTCAGAAAACATCACCCCTTTTGAACTGTTGATTCTCTCTATGAAGAACAAACTGCCTGAAAAGTCAACTGAGGCCTATAAATATGCTTGATTCCTAACGCTGGCTTTCGAGTTTCACTTGTTAGTCCTTGGGTCTGAATCAACGCAGTTTGCCCTATGTCATAGAAGAACTGGCCCTTTAACTGATGAATCTCATGCTTGCCTCAGAACCTAGGGTGAGGGAGATTTGTGGTGAAAATTTTGCAAATGAACTTCCATGCCAATCCTTCCACTGATCCACAGTTCGAGGAAGCTCGTGTGTTGCACACAGTAATCCTTAGCATCACTAGCACTGAGTAATTATTACTAAAATGCCTGCTTTGTTGGAATGCAGGCTGTGGCATTCCCCATGTAGAAAGGCTTTGTTCCTCGCCTTTTCCTGGCTTTTCCCTAATTGCATCAAAACATTCAGTATGTAGATCAGCTGATACACCCAAAAAGAGCCCTCTTCTCATTGCCTTCCAGGCTCTCCTTCTCTTGTATCGGCTGGGTGTGAGATGTATGAGGCAATGCACAGCTTGGGTCCATGGAAGGCACTGTGCTTGGGGTAAAAGTCTCCTCACCAACAGAAATATCAATAGAGCCAAAGAAGTACCTTGGGAAGGGAGGGGAGAGAGCATGGAATTTAGTAAAACTGAGGCTTAATCCTAGTAGTCTGAGAAGTGCCGGAAAAAAATTAGTAAAATAGATTTGCAACCATATCCCCCATTTCCGGTCCACCAATGCCCATCTTTGCAAACTTTTTGAAAGCAGACTTTTATTGACACTTTGGTGTATGGAATATTGCAGTCAGATACACTTGTTCCAGTGTGCTAGGTAAAGGTAAAGGGACCCCTGACCATTAGGTTCAGTCGTGGCCGACTCTGGGGTTGCAGCGCTTATCTCGCTTTATTGGCCAAGGGAGCCAGTGTACAGCTTCTGGGTCATGTGGCCAGCATGACTAAGCCACTTCTGGCGAACCAGAGCAGCGCACGGAAACACTGTTTACCTTCCCACCGGAGCGGTACCTATTTATCTACTTGCACTTTGACGTGCTTTCGAACTGCTAGGTTGGCAGGAGCTGGGACTGAGCAACGGGAGCTCACCCCGTCGCGGGGATTCAAACCGCCGACCTTCTGACCGGCAAGTCCTAGGCTCTGTGGTTTAACCCACAGCACCACCCGCGTTCCTTCCAGTGTGTTATTTTGAATTTATTGGTTTTGAGCCTAGTATGATAATGGAGCTAGGGAACAGTTTGAGGCCACATCATACTGTAATACTTTTATAGCTAAACAGGCCCCAGAGGTATCTGGAGGAAGTGTGGGACACTGATATAAATACCTCAACTCTTTTCATTGTTGTAAGCTGCTTAGATTTCAAGGTCAATGTACTCCCCCCCCTCGAATTCTCAAACTTTTCATTCTTCATGCCAGAAACATGGGAAGTTCCTATGTAGGCAGGCCCTCTAAATAGCAAACTCAACTGGTGAGTCTTTTTGGGTGCAAGTTAGTGTAAACAGATATGGTCTGAAGGCACCAAGGAGTACATGTACATTTTTAAAGAAACTGGAAGCATTTTTATTAGGCATTTCATCGGCAAACATTTCAAAAGAAAATAAAAGAGTGTTTCTCTATGTGTCAACAGCAGCCAGAATACTAATAGCTAAACATTGAAAAAATAAGTCAATACCAACCAAAAACAAATGGCAAATGACGCTGTGCGAATACCTTGAATTGGCTAAGATGACAGAATTAATAAGAAACCAGTCTGGAGACAAGATTAAAAAAGAATGGGACTGTTTTTAAAAAATATCTGACAAAACATTGTTCCAATAACGACACTTGGCTGTGCCTTGATAAAATTCACAGATATAAGGGAAAGTTCATTTAACTTAATAACTAAATACAGATTACGTAATAGTAAGAGAAGTACAGAAACCTCAAAGAGTTAGAGGGAAGTCAAATGAAAACAAATAAGGGTCTCAAACCGAAACAGAGGAACAGAAAAAATGCAAAAAGTAGAAAAGTATAATTACAAAGGAAAATTCTTTCCAGGAATTTTGTGTATAGATTATGTAATACATGGTTTGTAGACCTGAAATGATTTTGTGTATTGAAAAAATATTTGTTTTTTTGTGTTCCTTCTTTTTCTTTTTTCTTTTTTTGTCTTTTTTGTCTGTTTTGTTGTGTTTATATTTTTATATTTTTATTTTTTATTTTTTTATTTTTTTTTACTTCTTTGGATTATGGATTGTTACTGTTGATTGTTTTTATTGGTAAATTAATAAAGCAGTTTTAAAAACTAAAAAAAAAAAGGAAGGCACCAAGGAGATATGTGGTCTGGTCAGTGCCTGGGTAGAAGATCACCCGGGAACCACATGACTGAGGAAATGTGGGATATGAATGTAAGAAAACTAATTAATAAGTAGACATATGGTTGGGTGAAGCAACCCTTTTAGATGTTCCTATCAGAGTCAAGAAAGAGAGCCACAGGGACATCTTATCTTTGGGCTGTGACTAGGGTGGAGATGCCACCACACCTTTGCAATCAGCAATGAGTCAAGTCAATTGTGCGGGCAAATCAAAGCCTCATTGCAAGGGAACCAAGCCCAAACAATGACCCCCATTCGACTACTTACATCATCAACACCAAATATCACCACAGTTTATTACTCATGTGGGCACAGATTAATTTCAAGCCGAGCTTCAAAGAGCACAACCCTCACGTTCCTGAATCCGATTTATAGATTACCCAAGCAATGTGGACTTACATAGCTCTGCAAATTTTATGAGCAGACATTTTTCATAACCAGCATCCAAAATTGGCCCTTTTTAAATAGTGCAGACCAAATTATGTGACTTCTAGCACTAGATCTAAGTAAAACATTGCTGACCAAGGAATTTGTTTTAGAAGGGGGTCCAATCAGTTTTGAACTTACCGTATTTTTTGCTCTATAAGACACACTTTTCCCCTCCTAAAAAGTAAGGGGGGATATGTGTGCGTCTTATGGAGCGAATGCAGGCTGCACAGCTATTGCTGAAGCCAGAAAAGCAAGAGGGGTCGGGTGCGTCTTATAGAGCGAAAAATACGGTGTGTCGAGTGAGGAATGTACAACCTCAGGGATATGGCTACGACAATCCCTGTGCACAGACTCACAATCTAATAAGATGCAATGCAGAAAGGAGAAGAGAGGGCACATTTGGCCAGAGAAATCAGCCCCTTTATCTCACTGCTGGATGGGGCCAGGCTAGTATCTCCTACATAGTACATGAATGTAAGATAACAGAGTATTATGGTGAATTATTGGGCTCTCTGTGGCCGAGACCCTCTAAATATAGATTCAGTAGGCTGACCTTTAGAGCATGTGCTTGGAGCCACAAATCAAGGGCTGACGACAGTAGGAAGAAATCAGGTATCAAGACCAGTATCAGGGGCCCCTCCTATGTGCAGCAGTAGCATGGGAACTCCTTATCCCACGGCTTAATCTTACTCTGGTGTCAACAACGCAACAGCACATGGCTGCTGGCCTTGATCCCAACCAGGTGGCAATTGGGTGGGAAGGACCAGTGTTGTCTAGCCCCACCCATGTGACATTGGACCTTCAAGCAATACAGGAGTGGAGCGGTATGGCACCATAAATAAGTGGCTTCTGTACCCCATCCATGACATTGGAAGGGTTTCCCCTTGAGAAAGGACCAGTGGGAGAGCCTTGTGAAATGTTGTCAGAACATATTAACCCTTCAGAGGAAAAAGAAGGACAACTCCTTCACTGCAATGGTGCAAAGAGAGACTTGAGTCATTCTATCAACAGTATGTAGGGCACAGCAATGCAGCTGCTGCTTCCTCCAGAACAATTCAAAATATTTTTGGGGGGGGAGGTCTCACGCTATGCTAAATGCTTGTTTTGGCTTTGCACTGGGTTGCAGGACTGCTCCGTCAGCCCTGTCACCCTAAAACAGGTGCTAGTGTTAGGAGAAGATTGTGAAAATTGTTTTCTCAAGTGCTTCAGTCTTGCACATGTAAACTACAACATCAAAGCCAAGCAAAGAGCCTATCCCTTGGTGGGTGTTTTCAGAGGTTACCAAATCAAATAGTAAAGCAGGAGAAAACGAAAAGCACCCCACTTAGGCTCTGTCTTAGGTTGCAGTTCTACACAGGTTTAGAATACATCTGATGGCCACCAAATCTGATCCTGATCCATACATGCAATATTGACTGCTTATCTTTGCTGGCACTCTAGGAATGGCCAAGAGTTGGGCTTTCACACAGCAGTTCCAGGCTGCATCTTTGCCAGATAGAAAGAAGATGTGTTTTGTTTTGTGTGTGGTATACACACCCCAAATCTATGCTAATCACACAACCACAAGTAGGTGGCTGCAGGGGAAAATGTTTTGAGTTTAATTCCCAGCTCAGTTGCTATGTCTGTT